TCTATATGCATCCAAAGAAGTGGGCTGTAGCCCACGAAAGCTTATGCGCTAATAAATTTGTTAGTCTCTAAGATGCCACAAGTACTCCTGTTCTTTTTGCGGATACAGACTAACACGGCTGCTACTCTGAAAAATGTCTATATAGCCACCCTTTTTATACTGTGCTACGGAGTGAACTCTCCTTTTTACCCTCATGACTATTTTTAATTCCATTCAGCCATTTCATCATTAATTCCTTGGTCTGACTTCAATGTTTTTTTCTTATGACTTGCCTCCTCCCATGAGTTACACAGTTATCTTGTGTCAGGAGACCTGTGTTCAGTTCCCAGCTCTGGCACTGACCTCATGTGTGACCTCAGGAAAGTCACTGCAACTTTCTCTCTTTATGTTTCCCTCAGTCCTTTGTCTGTTTTATCTATCTGAATCACAAGCAATCTGTCTTTTATGATGTGCTTGTACAGTGCCCAGGACACTGATCTTGTTTGGTGCTACTATAATACACATAATTATGGCTGTCGATTAATCAGTTAACTCACGCGATTAACTCAAAAAAATTAATCGTGATTTAAAGAATTAATCACAATTAATTGCAGTTTAATAGCACTGTTAAACAATAGACTGCCAATTGAAATGTATTAAATATTGTGAATGTTTTTCTACATTTTCATATATATAGTATTCTGTGTTGTAATTGAAATCAAAGTGTATATTATTTTTGATTACAAATATTTGCACTGTAAAAATGATAAGCAAAAGAAATAGTATTTTTCAATTCACCTCATACAAGTACTGTAGTGCAATCTATTTGTCGTGAAAGTGCAATTTACAAATGTAGATTTTTTTTGTTACATAACTGCACTCAAAAATAAAACAATGTAAAACTTCAGAGCCTACAAGTCCACTCAGTCCTACTTCTTGTTCAGCCAATCGCTAAGACAAACAAGTTTGTTTACATTTACAGGATATATTGCTGCCCTCTTCTTATTTACAATGTCACCAGAAAGTGAGAACAGGCATTTGCATGGCACTTTTGTATCCGGCATTTTAAGGTGTTTACTGCCAGATATTCTAAACATTCGTATGCCCCTTCATGCTTCGCCACCATTCCAGAGGATATGCTTCCATGCTGATGATGCTCGTTAAAAAATAATTCTTTAATTAAATTTGTGACTGAACTCGTTGGGGGAGAATTGTATGTCCCCTGTTCTGTTTTACCCGCATTCTGCCATATATTTCATGTTATAGCTAGTTCTGGGGGAATTCTGCACCAAAAAAACTAAAAATTCTGCAGCAGAAAATTAAAAATTCTGTGCATGATATTATAAAATTCTGCATACTTTATTTGTCAAAATAACACAATATAATCACTCTGGTTTCAATTATTTTGGTAATTTATTTAAACTACTATAAAATGGATGGAGAATTGAGGTGGGGAGCATTGGAGAAAATTCCCAAAGCCCCTTGCCTAACAGTAATGTAACTAGGTTTAACCCTTTATTTCTAGTTATTAGTCAACAAATATATGCAGCCACGTGCTCGGTGTTACATCATAGCCAATTGAAGACCAAATGAGGGCTGGGGAATCAAACTCACAATTTAGTCCAAAAATTTAGACCAGTTCTGATCACTAAAGCATCATAAGCATTTATAAGGCCATACCATCCTTTACAACAGTCTGGCAATGTAAAGGAACTTTAAAACTTTTATACCTATTTTACTCCTGGGGGAATTCACAAAGAGAATGGGAACAATTCACTAAGCAAGCAGGCTGCTATATTCTGCCCCACCTGAGGGGACAATGCCTGTCCCACGCCTACCTCCTCAGAAACACCCCAAAGCCCTGTCCCTGCACACGAAGCGTGCTACAATAGTGAGCGAGAGGAACAGAGTGTCTCTCTCTCACACACACAACTGCAGTGATTTACGTCTCTATTGGCTGCTCCGGTGCCTGAACCAACCTGCCTCCGCTGCCGGAAAAGGGTGCGTGACCACTCTTGCGGCTTCTCTTTGCTTCCCCGTCAGAAGTCATTTTTCTGGGAGGAAGCAAAGAAATCTGTGGGGGGCATGAATTCTGCACACACGCAGTGATGCAGAATTCCTTCAGGAGTAAAAATTTTAAGAACACTTTCACTGCAGATTTGACAAAACGCAAAGAAGGTACCAATGTGAGATTTCTAAAGATAGTACAGCGCTCAACCCAAGGTTTAAGAATCTGAAGTGCCTTTCAAAATCTGAGAGGGATGAGGAGTGGAGCATGCTTTCAGAAGTCTTAAAAGAGTAACACTGATGCAGAAACTACTGAACCCAAACCACCAAAAAAGAAAATCAACCTTCTGCTGGTGGCATCTGACTCAGGTAATGAAAATGAACATGCGTCGATCTGCGCTGCTTTGGATTGTTATCGAGAAGAACCCGTCATCAGCATGGATGCATGTCCCCTGGAATGGTGGTTGAAGCATGAAGGGACATTTGAAGCTTTAGCGCTTCTGGCATATAAATATCTTGCAACGCTGGCAACAACAGTCATATTCTCACTTTCATATGACATTTTAAACAAGAAGCGAGCAGCATTATCTCCTGCAAATGTAAATAAACTTGTTTGTCTGAACAAGAAGTAAGACTGAGTGGACTTGCAGGCTCTGAAGTTTTACACTGTTTTATTTTTAATGCAGTTTTTTTGTTCATAATTCTACATTTGTAAGTTCAACTTTTATGATAAAGAGATTGCACTACAGTACTTGTATTAGGTAAATTGAAAAATATTATTTTTTATTTTTACAGTCCAAATACTTGTAATCAAAACCAAATATAAAGTGAGCACTGTATGCGGTGTATTCTGTGTTGTAACTGAAATCAATATATTTGAAAATGTAGAAAACATCCAAAAATATTTAAATAAATGGTATTCTATTATGTTTAACAGTGTGATTAATTGCGATTAATTTTGTTAATCACTTGACAGCCCTACAGATAATAAAAAAGAATGTTGATTTCCAGTTGATAACAGTAGCCCATCAGGTTGATTTCACTCTTGATGAACTTTTGTCGTGCATTACAATATACTAAGGAGAATGTTACCAAAAGCTGCAAAATACTGTTACATATGTGATTGCTAGCCATGGCAAAGCAATTAACAGAACAGGTGAAACTGAATATTTGACCCTATTATTTTCAATTCCTTAGGAATTTTTAATACCCCCACCTTCTTGACTCTGCCAAATACTCCCTTATGTTTAATTATTTTAGGAAACAATTTATGTTACTGTTTTCTTCTGCCTAGACCAATTAGTCCTCTTCTGGACCAGAACACTCCCGATTTCACCACGTTCTGCTCTGTAGGAGAATGGTTACAAGCTATTAAGATGGAAAGATATAAGGATAACTTCACAGCAGCAGGCTACAACTCTCTTGAATCAGTAGCCAGGATGACTATTGAGTAAGTTGGCACTGGGCATGTTTGACCTACATTTAGCAACCTTCTAAGTAAAAGACAAATAATATTAAGCTGCAAAGTACTAGACCCAGTACAAACTCAGTTCATAGGGTGAGATTCTGTCCTTCACTGAGGTTTACTCAGCACAGGAGAGTGAGTCCAGGGAGCAGTTCATGGCTTCTTAATTCTCTGCCCTGCACAATTAGTGTAGTTTAGAGCAGCCCAGCAGCATCTCTAACCTATTCCAGTTAGTAACAGTCATTTTAGGACTGTCTGCCAACTGAAAATTGTCTGCGGTCTCTTATAGGACTTCTTGGCTTCCAGGAAGCAGAGCCCTAGGCGCTGCCCATTCCACCCTCTTCCCAGAGAGGCTTTGCAGGTCAGAACGTAGTGGGGATGGTGTTATGGAAGCATCTCCACCCTACCTTCCACCTAACATATGGCAGCGATAGATCCATATGCAGAGGGTTCCTACATGCATGTCTCTAAAGGGCACAATGTAGTCACAGTAATCTTCCCCTTATACAGTGACTTTATCCTGAATGTTTTCCTACACTGAGTTTTCTTCATAGGTACAGTTACACATGATAAATGATGCAAAATAATTTCGTCTCACTCCCAAAACTAGGGAAACGTACATTTCTGAAGAAAAGATTGAGTAGTGTTTTAAGCACGATTCACAGTATTGATACGAGGCTCCAGTATAGCTTTGGTATATTCAAACATGGGTTCCAAGAGTACTACTCAGTTTTAAGTGACTGCTTTATCCCATATAAGTGCACTGTACATTGAATAATTAATACATTTATCTTTCCCAGTGATGTGATGAGTTTAGGGATCACGTTGGTTGGTCATCAAAAGAAAATTATGAGCAGCATTCAGACTATGAGAGCACAAATGCTACATTTACATGGCACTGGCATCCAAGTGTGATAGATATTTCTCCCTTATGAGGGAGGTGACGGACTGAGAGAACAGCATTGGCCTTCAGTATACATGAAGTGCTGCTAGAAGACACTTGATCTCCTGGGTCCTTCCTGCAGTGAAGAGAAGATCTACAAGAAGCACCTACAGACTTGAACTCCTAAGTGCCACCAGAGGTTACTAAAAGGGAATTGGGATCCACCACTGATGGCAAGGAAAACAGCAGTGACAATAAACAAAGTACTACCTGAAACACATACAAACACCTTGAGTTCTCTAACCTCCTTTTTATCTAATAGACTTTTTAAAATGTACATAAAGAATTTAAAAAAGAATATATTTGTCAGATAAAATCATGATATTATTGTTAAATTCAGCAAAATATTTTCCTTAAATCTTGATTTAAGAATCTTTTTTTAATCATTTGTGTTTATTCTTCATAAAGACCTTCTTTTAGTATGATGTTTATATCTCTGGACCTTTCTAGGGCTAATTCTATGACACATTACTACACTGGGTACCTCTGAAAGGTTACTAGAAGTTTTAGAAATGTAAGAAGCATGACTGAGCAACATATATCTGTCCAAACATTGGTATCCCTTTTTGTGCCATTTTATTCTGTTAAATCAACACTGTATTGACATGGTTTGCTAACTGGCAGGGAGTCAAGAAAATGCAAGTTGCTACGAGCGCTGATATTTTTTAAAGAATTTTTTAAGGTTAAACATATATTATCTTTTAAAGAAAAAAAGGAAAAAAAAGCAATAATGACCCCTAAGTAGTTCTAGGCACTTTTAACAAATTGTTTGCAAGATGATTTTAATGGACTAGATTTAAGGTGAGATTTTCTAAGGAGTAGATCCATAAGTGTAAACCTACTGAGGTATTTTATGGAGTGGATGATAATAGGAGTGCCTCAGAAGTCAGGTGCAGTTCTCCAGTGTTACCTAACTATTTTAATCTGAGCACATCACATTTTTTTCAATGCTCTGCATTAGCAAATCTGAGAGAAATGGCTGGCATATATTTTATATGCATTTCAGTTGAGTGCAGTCCAGCTGTGAGAATAAGGATTTACCTTTTATATTAGAACTGTAGAGCATGAGGCAAGGGGCAGTTCAGAATTTTCACATTTTTTACTAGCTTTCATTGCTCTCACACAAACACCATACACACACACATTCATTTGGGAACTCGAGCGCAAAAGTACTTGCTCAATTAAAAACTTTTACGCCATTTTTATTTATATATGTACCTTATTTTACTAAAACATTAAACTACCATAAGCAATAAGGAAGTGTGGCTACAGATATGGCAGGAATGTATACACATCAGAGAGAGATGCTTTCAGAAATTATGAAAATCGTGAACTACCCCTTCAGTAAAATGCTGAACTTCCAAAGAGAATTGGGCTGCTTCTGTTGATTTTGATAGAGAACGATCCCAGGGATCAGTCATAATTGGTCTTGTTTGATAATGTGGGCATCCACAAAAAAACTGTAAATGTTCCTTTGTAAAACTTGTAAATTTAATTTATACTGTCTTGTTTTGTACACACATTTCTGTGTAGTGAGCTCTGAATACATTGAAAATGCACTATATTTTTCTATTTTACTTGCAGAGCATCACAAAAGAACATGTATTTTCAGTGCTACATAATGTGTTTTCCCACATTTAGGACCAAAGACAGCTACAGAAAACTCAAATGGATCATTCCTCTCCCCCCTTCCCCCCTTTTTTAATCCTGTACAGTGTTACATTTTCCATTTTATTTATTTGTTTGATTAGAAAAATCAGTTTGATTATACCAATTTTTTCTCCCTCTGCCTTTATTGAAGAAAATCTGTAAAAAGCTTTTAATTAGCATAATCCCGTTACATAGACACTTCCATTTGTAATCTTTGTAATAGACTGTAAATATATTTTTGGAACTATAACACAATGTTCACAAGGATTATTTTTCAGTGTCCATATATGATCGTTCATGCAATTCACAACACTTTGCAGTCATGTTGAGAAGCATACTTTATGGCCTGGTTTGACCATAAGAAAGAATGGTGAAGATTCTTATTTCCTATTAGATTATCAACTCAGAAGAAATGGAGTTATCTGCATACACACAAGTCAGCAAGCTTTTTTTACTGTTAATAATTTTCTAAAAAAATTTAATATTAGAAGACAAAATGCACCGCAAGCCCAATTTTCAAACTAATGCACCTAAACCATCAGGCACTTAAGTTAGCAATTGGGAATCTAACTGTAGGCAGCCAGTTTTGAAAATTTTGACACTAAATCTACAGTAAGGAACCTAGGCTGGACTTTGCAAAGGGGCCTAATGTACTCAGCTGCCCACATCCCATCATATTGCAATGGAATTTGGGTGCCTAATTCCACTAGGGCCTTTTGAAAACTCCAGTTCTAAATATACACATCTCATGGGAGATGTGGACAAACCCTCTTTAAATGGAAAATGAGGCAAACACCTGTATGCGACTGTGTTCAACAGGCACATCATATCTGAGTGTCCCCTTTGTTCTTTCACCAAGGGCCTGAAGGACATTCTCCAGCTCACTGCTGCGGCAATATGCGGCTATCAAATCTAGATACAAATTTGTAATCATTGCTACCTAGCCAAGCTGTATGAAAGAAGAAGTTCTAAATAAGTGGTCTGACTTTCAAAAGTGTTGAGCCTCCTCCAGCATTCAGTCGTTGACTCAGCAAGATATAATCATGTGGTTCACTTTGTAGACCCTTCATGGGACTTCAGCACATGCTTAACCTTAAGCACATATTTAAGTGCTTTGCTGAATAAGGGTTAACTTATCATGTGATTAAATGCCTTGCTATATTGGGGCCTCATAGTATAGAAGCTGTAGAGTGATCAATTATTTTCCATATCAAGCCACTTACTTAAGTACCTAACTATGGATTTAGGATTTGAACTTCAAGCACCCACTTTTGAAAATTTGGGGATTTAGAGGCTCGATCATGCAAGGTTCAATGCTACTCCTTTTTAATAAGAGTTGAGGGCCACTCTGCACCTTTAGGAGTTGCCTGGCAGCATGGAGCCATCAATGCAGGTTTGAAACGTTGACATTAGGCAATGAAATTTTAAAATAAGGCTCATAACATTGCTTATGGCTACCTTATCTTTCCCTTTTACAGTCATAGCCAAGCCATCTGCTTTGAATAGATGATATAACATTGATTGTTCATCTAAATATCTTGACTGCCTTAAAGTTGCTACATATTCTTATGCCTTTAGAAGGGGAAGGACAGACCTTCAAAGCACAATCAATATTCAAATACTTAGTCTATCTTTCTGTCTAGAACATTATTGCAATTAGGAGTATATGTATGCATATCCAATTTTTAACTGGCAAAGCATCAACATAATGTTGCTTTCAATTCTCTATGTTTGAAGGAGAGATGGAGAAGGTAAGGAAAACAATGGCAGAAAAAGGTTGAAATTGTGTATTGAGACTCAAGCATTTGGAGAGGAATGGAAGAAAAAGTAGAAATTTAAAAAAAAAGAAAAGGATTCCAATTGGTTAGATAATGAAACAAATCACTTGGGTCAAATTCAAGCCTTGTACCCGATCCAACTATTTTGAAGTCACTGGGATTGTACAGGGCGTAAATCAGATTAAAATTTCTCCTTGTGTGTGCTTGACTGCTGGAAAGTTATTTCTTCCCCATGGACCAAATTTTGGTTTTATAACTAATATCTTCCAGATTGTATCAAAACACACTTGTCACTGGAGGATCTTTTCCCTTCCAACAGTGTGCAATGGATCATCTAACTGCAACTGTTAAATAAGATATTAATTCTTTATTGCTCTAATTTTATTGATGTTCCAGTGAAAGACCCAACTGGCCCACTGGTAAATTGCCATTCTATAACACCTAAAATAAATTGAAATGTTCATTTACATACAACTTCACTCAAGAGGCTACGTGGTCATATATGATAGTTATTGTTTGGATAAAATCATTTTTAACTGAAACTCTGACATGGCCATGTTAACAAACTCCAGGAAGGAAAAAATGCTTTGATGTATCTAAAAATGGAGCATTGTTCTTAATATCTCAATAATTCAGCTCTCTTCGTATTCTCCATTTTAAAATTAGTTTTTGATATGTTTAAACTGGAGTCATTTGGCATCCACTGAGTTAGTTTAGAGACATTATTTTAAATTACATTTGCTTTTCTCCACTAATAATTCATAGAAAATAGTTTTCCAGTGTTTGGAATGTTACAAAAACTATTACTTTAATGTAGGGAATGAGTTTTACTTTACAATTGTCAGGTAAGAGTTAAAATAAAGCAGAATTTGTCCTTAGCTTCCAAAAGGATTGATATATAGCAATATAACAACAGTATAACAAATTATATTACTAATTTAGGGTAGATTTGTGTCGTTTATGCATAGCCCATAATTAGAAGTGATGCAGAAGTACATTGGCCCAGGGTGAGTTTCAGCAAGCATTCTACCACTTAGAAACAGAATGGATCAGATCATTGGCAGTAGGCATGGAGTATGATGCTACTGAACCAAAATAAGAGTATGTCTTTTTTTCGCTTCACTTTAAAAAAAAAAGAATACTTAAAAAGTTAGAGATTAAAACCTACATTTTTTTAAAGCCAACCATACCATTTCTGGAGTTTAAAATGATATAATTCTTTTCACAAATGTATGTGGTTTTCCTATTTCAAAATTATTTATTTAAATAGAGCGTATATGGAGGGCAGGGAAGAGAACAGTTCCCTGGTCCAGGTTAGAAATCCCGGTATAGGAAATGTGTGATACAAATGCTTGCCTACAATAACTCTGATACCTGAGCTGAGGCTGCAGTAATACCAGATTACGTTGATTGGCCCAGGAAAGTTATTGTTTTTATCAAATTTGGTAGCCACCTGAAGATGGTAGATTCTGGATTTAGGAGACAACTCAAAGTGTCTGAGCTTTGAGGTAGCACATAGGACCAGAAGGTACCTCCTCGGTCATCAAGTCCAGTCCCTTGCTATCACAGGCAACCCTGTCATAAATCTCGTCTATACATTTTTCAAGCAAAAACTAGTTAGATTGTTTGCCCCCACAGCTATTGGAAGACTGTTCCAAAATCTAACTTCTCTGTTAGAAACCTTCTTTTAATTTTCAACCTAAATTTATTTGTGGCCAGATTTTACCTGTTCTTGTGCCAACATTGTACTTTATCTTAAATAGCACTCCTCCCTTCTTGCTGTTTACTCCTGTGATGTACTTATACTGAGCAGTCATATTCCTTCTCAGCCATCATTTTACTAGGCTAAACAAGCCAAGCTCTTTTAGAATTTTAGTTCCCATAAAACACAAATTCTGGGCAGCAACATGTTTTTCCCCATTATTCCCCTAAGAATCAGAAGTCTGGCCAACAATTACTTTCAAGCAAGAATCTTTATTGCTTGCATAGTGCAGCCTTCCATCTACTTAGGAATATACAGTCTTAAATTAAATTTCCCTTGAAAAACAGTGGTTTAAAGGAGGGGGGGGAAATAAGAGGTTGGTGAAAAAATATGACCAAAAAGAGACCATAAATGTCATGAAACCCCAAATATTCCTGGGTTCTCCTGTCCTTATTGGTATTGCATTCTATATAGTGCTTTGCAGAACGTGCATAATTACTGAAGCATATTACATACCAGATTAAAAGACGGAAATAAAAATACATTGTATCCTAGAGCTGAAGGGAAACAGAAAGCAAACTAGATAGTTTTTGTTTGTTTGTTTTAATGAATATATTTAAAATGTGTTTGGCTGGGTGGCTTACACATGTTAAGGCAGTAATTCTCAACCAGGGTGTACATATTTGCCCAGTTTTACAATAGGGTACATAAAAAGCACCAGTGAGGTCAGTACAAACTAAAATTCCACACAGACAATGACTTGTTTATACTGCTCTATATACTATACACTGAAATGTAAGTACAATATTTATATTCCAATTGATCTATTTTATAATTATATGGTAAAAAGAGAAAGTAAGCAATTTTTCAATAACAGTGTGTTGTGACACTTCTGTATTTTTATGTCTGATTTTTGTAAGCAAGTAGTTTTTAAGTGAGGTGAAACTTGGGGGTATTCAAGACAAATCAGACTCCTTAAAGGGGTACAGTAGTCTGGAAAGGTTGAGAGCCCCTGTGTTAAGGTACAGGCTTCTATAACCTAAGGGCCACAACAGTGAATGTATGATATCCGTGAAACTGGGGATGGGCATTTAGGACAGATAAATGGTGTACAGTTTAAGAGTGATGGGTACAATTTGAAGTTTATGAGATTAAGAGACCTGGTAGGTTATGTGCAGTAAGATCATGAAGAGCATTAAAAATTAAAAAGGAAAAATCTTGTCCTGCGCTTGACTGGAACCAGAAAGTGAGTGCAACAATAGGGGGAAATGTGAAGATGTTTAGAATGTGTGACTCTTACGGTGTGGAGTTCTATAAT